GATAGATAGATAGATAGATAGATAGATAGATAGATAGATAGATAGATAGATAGATAGATAGATGATAGATAGATGGACGGAAGGAAAGACAGACAGACAGATAGATGATTGATAGATATAGATGGAGAGATAGATAATAAATAGGTTGATATTTCTATGACAGCCTTTAATCTATGCTGTATAAGCCCAAGATTCCTCACCTTTTTTATATCTGAAGCTAATTAGAAAGCATGAACAATTCTCTCAATAGTTAAGTGAGAATCTTTTTATTGATTTTATTGAACACTACATTTTTCTCTGATCCCCTATTTCTCTCCCCTCCCCTTCAACCCTCTCCCATGGTCCCCATGCTCCTAATTTACTCAGGAAATCTTGTCTTTTTCTACTTTCCATATAGATTAGATCCATGTATGTCTCTCTTAGGGTCCTCATTGTTGTCTAGGTTCTCTGGGATTGTAATTTGTGGGCTGGTTTTCTTTGCTTTATATTTAAAAACCACTTATGAGTGAGTACATATGATAATTGTCTTTCTGGGTCTAGGTTACCTCACTCAATATGATGTTTTCTAGATCCATCCATTTACCTACAAATTTCAAGATGTCATTATTTTTTTCTTCTGTGTAAATGTACCACATTTCCCTTATCCATTCTTAGGTCGAGTGGCATTTAGGTTGTTTCCAGGTTCTGGATATGACAAACAATGCTGCTATGAACATAGTTTAGTGTTAAGTGAGAATTCCTATGTTGTTTCTTTGTTCCCTTTCAGACAAGCCTGCTCATGTAGCCAGGGCTGGCTTCGAACTTGTGATCCTCCTTTCACGTGTATCTTCACCTACTCGATCACAGTTCCAAGGAGTAGATCTCATCTTTGTGTGGCCTGTGTGTATTGCCCTTATGGGTTTGCTTTTCAGACTGCTTTAAGAAACCGTGGGCTAATCTGAGACTGCGGGGATTGTTTTACACAAAGAGAGATGATGAAGTTCATAAAGATGAGGACTGGTGAATGGGCATAGAAAGAAGGTTTCTAATTCCTGCAGAAAAAAAATGATTTTAATGATGGTAGGAGTGATAATAATCCTATAAGCAGAATTAATGCTTATCCGCATAAGAGTTATATTTTCTAAAACATGTCAGACTGGGTATGATTGTGCATACACACTGTCAGGGTTTCAGTTCTGTGAAGACACCATGACCACAGCAACTCTTATAAAGGAAAACATTTATGTGTGGCTTACATTTCAGAGATTAAGTCCATTATGATCATGGTGGGACAAGGTGCCATGCAGGCAGAGTGCTGGAGAAGGAGCTGAGATACAATAAGTGATCTGAAGTAGGTGTAACTTGCACATAGGAGACCTCAAAGTACGCAAGCCTTTGGAGATATTTAAAATCCAAACCATACAACCTCACATCGATGCCTTGCGCTCAGCAAGTACTAAAGTGTTAATTCTCATTATTATTATTTTCACAGTGTCCCTTGGGATACAAACAAAACTGCCTGAAGTTATTTTCTGTGTTAATGTGCAAGTAAATTAAGTGAATCAGGGTCAAGGCCACGAAAATGGCATCAGGGTAAACCCAGGTGTCTTAGTTTGGGTGACTGTGGCTGAGATGACTCACTAAGGCCAAAGCAACTTGGAGAGGAAAGGTTTATTACACTCACACTTCCAGATCACGGCTCATCAAAAGCAGTGAGGGCAGGAACTCAGGCAGGGCAGGAACCTGGAGGTAGGAGCTGAAGCAGAGGCAATGGAGGGCACTGTTTACTGGCTTGTTCATCATAACTTGATTTGTCTGCTTTCTTATAGAACCCAGGGTCACCAGCCCAGGGATGTCACACCCATAATGGGCTGGACCCTCCCCATCAATGACTAATTAAGAAAATGTCCTGCAGGCTTGTGTGTGGCCTGATCTTATGGAGGCATTTCCTCAACTGAGGCGCTCTCCTCTCTGATGATTCTAGCTTTTGTCAACTTGACATAATGCCAGAACAGCAGGTTAAATAACAAAGACTTAGTAATTACAAACCTATGGGCTATGTATTTCTTACTATGTAGTAGATTTTTTACAAGTTACATGGGAAGTCTGAAAAGCACTACTACATATATTGCAACCTTTTAGAAGTATCTGGTTTTGTTTTTGTTTTCTATTTTCTCAGGGAAAAAGACAGACAAAATTGGAAAATGCGTAATTCGGAACTTCAAAATGCCAATGGACACAAGCTGGAAAAAAGGTTAAAAACAAAACATTTTCAATACTAAATTTTTATTCTTTTTATTATTATATACTTCCAATAACAAATCTGCTTCTCTGGCTGCTTATTGTAGCCATGGTAACTATTGAGAATTATACCCAATTTAGTCAGTTCCCAAAGTATGTTGGGGAAAGGGACAAAAGATGACAGCCCCACTGACAAGTGACTTGATGCATCTGTGGTTAGACAAGGTCACTATAGCCTCTGCTGAACTTTTGATGGCATAATTAGCTATAAAGCAAAACAGAAGGAGCGCCTGTGAGTGACAAATTACTGAATCATTGTTCTAAAATAAGTGTTCATTCTCTCTCCCTCCCTCTGTCCTCCCCTGCTCCTTTTCTCCCTCCTTCCTAAAGCTCCCTTGATATTCTTTACTTTCCCCCTCCTCCTCCATGCAACCTGCTATCTCACTGTATGTCTATATGTGCATATGCATGTATGGCATATGGCCATAAATTTTCCACTTAGTTCAGCAGAAGCAGTGTCCAAGGTTGACAGTGACTGACTTGCTTTGTAATTAGGACATCAAATGTCCTTCTAGAAGATCAACAGCCTAGTGCTGTCACCGTGGACAGTGTATCTCTCAAATACACCTATCAAGTTCCCTTCTCCAGAGTTCCTTCCAGGCTACACAAATCATGCTTCTTCGTAAATTCCCTTGCCGATTCTCAGCCCAGCATCCAGAAACCACTGACCCCCTCTACACATAAACATCATCTGTACACATCCCGTGAATGAGTCTGATAGGCTCGCCTCTCATGCCTAATCCAGAGACAGGATTCATGTGTTGGTCATGCAAACCTTTGGTTTGACTTAAGGGATATGTCTGACAACTATGTTCAGGAAAATATACTCTCTCTCCTGGGCTACATACTGAGCCTCACCCAAGCATAGGGTATAGAGTGAGACACTATCTCTGCAAATAAATAAACAGTAACATTAAAAAGGGGAAAGAAAAAGAAAAGGAGCCCCTCTCAGGAGGCCTGGAGTAGGGAAGGTTGACACTGGCAGGATCACACCCCCTTCCCCTTCTGTGCTCTGTGCAGCATGCTTAGACAAGAGTCCTGACCCAGGATTTGGGGTCCTGGTACACTGTTCACAGTCATTCCGACACCTGATGATACTCTGAGAAAGCCCAAGACTCATACCCTGACAACCTCTCTCTCTTAGGATGATTAGCATTATCAATAAAATAGTTTAAAATAGCATGTGGTAGTTGTGGCTTCATTATTATGTTAAAAGGTCTATTACATTTTTATTAATATTAGGTGGCCATTAAGACTAGAAGAGCTGGGCTAGACAGATGACTCAGCAGTTATGAGTTCTCTGTTCTACCAGAGGACCTGGGTTCAAGTCTCAGCACCCAAATGGTAACTCTCCCTCCAGGGTATCTGACACCCTCACACAGACACACATGCAGGCAAAATACCAATGCACAGAAAATAAAAATAAATAACTCATTTTAAAAAGTGAATATTTAAAGTTTAAACAAAATGTCTAGAAGAGACAAGAATAATTAAGTCCGACTTCTCCAGGGCATTTTACCTCCCATCTGCACTGTACCAGCAGGAATCCAGAGCCAGGCCACCAGCTCTTTAACACATGTGATCTGGGAGAGAGTAAAGCACATGTTTGTTTCTTTGGCTTCAGTTGGTTTTGATAGAAATGGAAGACTAGATCACAAGTCCAAGAAGGTCTAAACAAAGAGGAACTGAGAGCAGAACCCACACAGCTCAGCCGGGACAGTTGTGGAACACCCGGAGGCTACAGTCAAGGCTGGGCTCAAGTTCAGTCACTTTACATGAGTGGAAAGGGCAGAGAGAGCACAGGTGGCTTCCTATGTGGCCATGGGGTGGAGGGAAGGAGGAGTGGAGAGTTTACCCTGGGCATATCTAGGACTTCAGCATCATGAATGACAGTGTCTCACACTGAGCACCAACCCCCAGTACGGGTAACCTATCATCCCCATCCATCACACATCTATCACCAAACTTGGTCCAATCACATTCTTGGACATTGCTCAATTAAGAGCAATTAGTACTACGGGACAAACAGGAGGTGGTGAGAATACTTCACCTATGTCCCTGACATGTCCATTTCTTCTTGTTTTACCTGCTTCTTGAAGCCTGGCTAAAAACCAAGGTGATTCTTCCTTTATGCAAGGCTAGGAAGCTCTCGTTCCTTGACTCTCCATGGTATCTCAGCTCACTAAGGGCAATGTGAGGCATAACACTCCAGCTCTTGAGATGTTGCTCATCAATACATGCCTCCTGGGCTGGGCCAGTGGCTCACACCTGTAGATCTCAGGACTGAGGAGACAGTGACAGAGGCAGGAGGATTGCAGGTTTGAAGCCAACCTGGGCTACATAGTGAAACCTTGTAGCAATCAATCAATAGATGTTTCATGGGGCCATTTATATCTCAATAGGGTTGGTGGTTTTGTTGTTGTTATTGCTGCTGCTGGGTTGGGTTGTGTGTGTGTGTGTGTGTGTGTGTGTGTGTGGTTTTTTGAGACAAGGTTTCTTTGTATATTTGGAGCCTGTCCTAGAACTAGTTCATGTAGACCAAGCTGGGCTCAAACTCAGAGATCCACCTGCCTCTGCCTCCAGAGTGTAGGGTTTTTTTTTTAAGGTTCTGGGTAACTATTATGACCAAGACCCAGAAAAGGAAGTATTAGTTATCTCAAGAATTCCTTACATCTCACTAAGGCAAGATTCCTTTGCAACCCAGTGTAGACATGCCCTGCTCAAAGGAAGAAGTACTTACGACTGTATATATGGAGGAGGCTTTATTTCAGGGTCTGCACTTCCTAAAGAGTATCCTTCTGATGCCAGCTGTGGGCACAGAATGAGAAGGAACAAACAGACTTCTAAAGTCCCCAACTTTACCATTCAAATTGATTTGGCCATTATTGTCTTAATCATGCTTATGAAGTGTGACTTGTTCTTTTTGTGTGTGTGTGTCACATCTAGTCAACACATAAACCCTGATGATTGCCACCTTTATAATTAAATCTAGATCAGAAGTCAGCAAGCTGCAGCCAAAAGGAAAAATCTGACTTGTCAGTTATTTATTAATAAAGTTTTATTAGAAAATGCCTTTTATTTACATGTAGTCTGTGGATGCTTCCTCATATGAATGAAAAGCTAAGGAATCACAAAGCAAATCAGGGACCATAAGACCTTGGATGTTTACTGTCCAGGCCTTAACAGGAAATGCTCCTGACTTCTGGTCTGGATTTTATCTTTATTTTTCAGAAAGTACTAAACAGGATTCAGGAAAGTTAGCTTTAAACAGTGTTTCTGTAAAGTGTTGTTTGCAATGTGATGTTATCAATAAAAGACTTGTGTGATGTTTTCTCAGCTTACACGGGGAGATGTATCAACAGTTCTTCACAAAGAGGCAGAAAAAGAGGTAAAGAAAAATGTGATTTATCAACTTTTAATGAATAGTAATCTTTAAAAATGTTTTTGAGGCAGGATCTCACTCACTATGCAGTCCTGGCTGGCCTGGAACACGCTATGTAAATCAGTCTTATCTTGAACTCATAAAGATCCACCTGCCTCTGCATTCTTAGTGCTGGGATTAAAGGCATATGCTACCAAGTGTATATTATATTATATTATAGTGGGTCTCATAGACAATTCTATGCAAGTAAATAAATATTCTTTGAGCAAATTCCACCAGGACCCATGGCCCTCCACTCCCTTTTCCTGTTGGTCCCCCTTTGTCTCCCAGAGAAATTTGCTCCTACATTCTTATCATCTGTACATATAGTTTTGTGTCTCTGTGCAAATACTTAAGAGCCACAGATGAGAGCAAACACACCTGTCTTCCTGAGCCTCACTAAGTGTGCTTACCATAATCATCTCCAGTTGTATCCATTTTCCTACAAACAGCAATAATTTTGATTTTCTTTTCCTGGCTGAGAGAAATTCCACTGTGTACATAAATCAGTTTCTTTACCTATTACTCTGCTGATGGGCACCTAGGGTGGGGTCCACAGCTTGTCAGAAGTGTCACAACAAACGTTGATGAAGTAATTAAGCTCTTACTGTGTACTCTGCTGCGCGGTGAGTGACAAGCTGACTTTTTTGATTGGCTGTTGAAATCAGTACCAAGTCATAAGATCATCATCACCGTTGGTCAGTGTCAACAGAACCAGACAGAATGCTGGTAACTCCCATTCCTCCGACTAGTTAGTTGATTTGGGAGGGACCCAGGGCTTCATGTGTCTTCATGTACTGAACATTCTTGAGGCAAGAGATAAAGTATGTGACCCACATGATATTTAGCATAACTTTTCCTTTCCCATGTAGAAAGCCATGGAAACACACAGACCTTGATGATAATACGAGACCTGTGCTCTAATTCCTTAGCTCCTGTGTGCCTTTAGCCTGTCATTTGCCCTTTTCTAACTCAAATTATTTATCTGTGGGAAGAGACATAATAGGGGCTGGAGAGATGGCTCAGCATTTAAGAGCACTGACTGCTCTTCCAGAGGACCTGGGTTTAATTCCTAGCACCCACATGGCAGTTCATTACTGCCTATAACCCCAATATCTGACACCCTCGTGCAGACATACATGTAGGTAAAATGCCAATGCACATTTTAAAAAAGAAAATGTGGCATCCAGTTTCAGGTGAGTCAAGCTGAGTTCCCTGCCAGGGCCTATGTTGTTTTGAGAGACTGCTCTGAAGCAACTGTGAGATGCTCCTCCCACCCCATCCTAGCCCCACAGTGTCTTTGATGGAACCTTTAGCTGGCTGGAAAGGGTGGAGCCACTAATACGGAAGTTCATTTTAAGGCCTTCAATATGTGGCTCAATGAAATTGGATCCCACACAAATGCGACATACACACAGACTGCCAGACACAGGCATCCCCAGCAGGCACCCAGGCATGTGCTGGGACACAGACAGGCAGGCTGGGTGGAGGTAGGCACACAAGCCTGCAGATAGACACATACAGGCAGGAAGCTGGTAAAGTTGTCCTCAAGGCCATGTTTATACAGAACCACACAAAAGTGTCACTATAGAACTGATTATCTAAAACATGGCATCACTATTTACTCTGGGGTCTCCAGATACTTGGTGTCAGTTAACTCAATGTGCTAACTCATTGTCATCCCCCCTTCCCACCATGTGCAGTGTCAGCCATGTTTGAGCTGACATATCAGGTAGTCATATCAATACCATGTTGTTTAAATATAAACACTTTCACGGCTTTCTGTGTCTAACACAAGCACCCTTCGAGTGGTATGCAGGGCTCCTCTAGAATTGCAGAATCTTCTAGAGAAACTGCCTGAAACCTCAGGCAAGCTCAGGAAAGGAGAAAGACAGCAAATCAGATGAAAGGAGAATGATGACATCACCTCATGTGTGCCCCCTTCCATCCCCCTCAACCGGAGATGCCTCCAACAGCAGAACAAAATTATTCCCATCTGCAGAACCCCAAAGCCATTGCATAATGAGAACGATCTATTCAAAATATTCGTAGGAAAGTCACTGTGCAGTGGCTGCTGTGACCAACAAGTCTGAGAGCTGGGATTCTAATACACAAGGCTTCAGCCACTATGCAGGGGTTCAGAGGCTGGGAGCAGAGCAGCTGGTTGTCTGTAAGAACCTAATCGTTCATAAAAGAAACACCTTCAAGTGTAACTAATTCCTGGGGATTGGTTGCAGAAAGAAGATACCAAAGTGGGTAGAGGGAAGGGCGTGCACTGTTCTAGAATAAAGCAAATTATGTCCCTGCAGGTCCAAGAATTTCCAAACAATACAATGTGGATTTTAGCCGTCCTGAGCTTCTAGTGACCTGTGGTACTGCTAAGGGGACTCTGTATGTGGAGAATTTTAAGAAAGGTGAGTTTCAGATCTTCTGTACTCTTCACCTGTACAACGGCACCATGTATGGGGTGGGCATCTGTATTGGGGGTATCTCATTCCAGAGTCAGTTTGTGGGACTCAGGATATCGGCAATGTCACACCCGTTGCTGAAGTGAGGGTTTGGGCCCAAGTTACCAATGAGAAGAGGGTATGAGAGGCAAAGTCCAGAGGAGCCAGAAGCTCTTGACATTGCTCTCCTAGTGGAGATTGCACAGGGTGCAATCAACTACCCCAGCAATGAAATTGTGAAAGGCTTTCTTCCAAGGGGTTGCCTATGCCCAGGACCAGGGCTTCTAACAGCATAGAATTATTCAGGTACATATCTGCATAGCGCACACAAAATCCAGATACCCACAAGTAAAGTGGGTCTCATTTGTGAAATAAACTGTTTGTAAATGGTTTCCGACATTTCAAGAGTTACTCTGTGTTTCTGAAAGTGACAGAAGCTCTCCCCAAAATCACATTTGCAGACTTCAGCTGAAGTCCGACTATGCCAGGCATCGTTTCTTCAGAGTCTCAGACCTGCTGTCTTCTTTCTTTTCTGCAACAAAACCAAGAAAAGAACAGCAATGAGGACATTTTTGAATTTTTTTCTTTTTCTCTTTCTTGTACTATTGGGTTTAAACCCAGGGCCTGTGCCTGTGAGGCAAACGCGCTCTCACTGAATTGCACCCTAAGCTGCAGTGTTGCAAGTTTAAATATCATACGTCCCTGGCCTATCAGGCTACCTCCCCTCCCCTCTGTGAAAAGGGGTGAAAAGATGTCTGTTTAGCATCTCATGCTAGAGTAAGCCCTAGCACACCTGGGAGGGAAATGTGTGTGTCTGAGAAAGTCAGCATCAACCTTTGTGGGTCCCTTAGCTGTGACCTCTGTCAGACTTTAAGCTAAGTAAGAAAATCCAGAGGACTTGGATTGGAATTTGGGTACACTCAAACCTCAGCTCTCTTGGTGTATTAGTCCAGTGTTCTTTGCTCTACTGAAATATCCAGTCAGGCTGCTCTATTTAACTTACAGATTTAGAGGCTAAAAGGCCAAGATCAGGCAGCCTCACATACGGGCCTTTGGAGAGGGACTGAGGGCAGGTGGCATCATGGCAGGGGTATGACATGTAGGAGGAAGAGTCATACCATAAGGCACGAAGCCAGACAGTGATTGGGGTCCATGAGAAATATGAGAAATGACCAACTGTCGTGACCTGGAAGTGTAATGTTATAGAAGTAGCTGTGGTGACAGCTTCCTTGTGGCTGGATTCACAAGAGCCCAGCAGGGAATTTTCTGCCCTCACTCACTTTTCTGAAATGCAAGTTGGCCCTACACTGGGTCATAGTAAAACGAGGATAAATAACCCCATTTTAGAGCCATTCCTTTTTTTAAATCTTTTATTATTACAGTAGAATGCACACTGGCTGCTCTTCCAGAGGACCCAGGTTCTAATTGCCAGCACCCACACTTGGCTCACCACCATCGAGAACTACAGTTTCCAGCAATCCAGTGCCCTTTTCTGGCTTCTGTAGGCAGTAAGCACAGATGTTGTATGCAGACATACTTTAAGACAAAACACCAATACACAAAAATAGATGAATTACTTGTATGCCAGGCAGTGATGGCACTCACCTTTAATCCCAGCACTCAGGAGGCAGAGACGGTCTGGTCTACATAGCCAGTTACAGGACAACCAGGGCTCCAGGGCTGTCTCAGGAAAGAAAAAAAAAAAAGCTTTTTGGGAAAAGCATAAAGGATAACATCAGTGGTCGTCATTCTCTGTCCTTGCCTAGCAGGATGGGTGTGTGGCCCCTGATGACTGAGAAGGAAATGCACATCCTCCTGAGACTAAACCTCAGCCCCAGATCCAGGATGATGATGGGCCAAGGGCAGGTGTTTTTGTAGCTGACTGTTCAGTTTGTCGTGGTCTCACAGGCATCTATGAGAAGAGTATACAGACTGAGCCTGGACGTTGGTTGACTCCCAAGGAGTTTGAAATCAAAGGAGATCGCCAAAACTCCAAGAACTGGAGGCTAAGCATACGCTGCCATGGATGGACCCTGGGAGAGTTGATAAAGGTATTCTGGGGGCAGATAGCTTCCATGGTTCCAGGGTAAGACGGTGGATTAAAAGCTTCTATGTGACAGGCAGCTTCAATTATTCTGGGGTGAGACAAGAGATTAGAAGCTCTCTCCATGTGACTAATAACAGGATTTTGCTGTTGTATTTCACTGACACCAGATGGTAGCAGAATGTCTGCTTACGAAATACCGTTATGATTCTTCTAAGCCAGGGTCCACGGCATGGGTTGTTCCCAGTATGCCACTCAAGTGTTACCTTGACTGGCTTGCATTACAGCTTCATCATTTAAATGCATTAATTTGCATCCTTTGGATGGTAGGAGAAAAAGACTGTGAAAAAAAAAAAAGACTGTGACCTTTACCATTAACTATCTGCATAAAATTTGGTAGCATGAATATAATTTAAGTTAAATTTGAATGTAATTTAAACGTGGGGTGCCAGTGTGAAAATAATACATGATTATGTATCTGAAGATAATGCACCCGTGTGGATGCCTGCTTTACAGTTACAGAATGTTTAAGCAGTTCTTCTTCCAGGTCGTCGTCTCACACTTGTTCTTGAACAACTGAGTATTGTGGGTCAGAACTGTAATCCCAGCAGTTGGGAGACTGAGGCAGGGAGATTGCTCCGAGCTCAAGGATGACATAGACATTGTAGTAAATGCCAGAACAGGTTACAGAGTGAAACCAACCTCAACTCTATCTACCCAAAAATAAGAGTAAATAAAGGAAAAGTAATTTGAAATTGCATTTTGAAATAAGTTTTTTGCTCTTCATTTATATCAAGCTCCTGAATTGGGAGAATCAAGAGGTTCCCTTAGTAGTAGAATCTGTTTCTTTTGACGTACAGTACACGGATCTTTCTATCACATCTCAGGTGGCCTTTCCCTGTGTCATCCTCACAATAAAACAAAAAAGTTTGCTCATCAAATATAGACTGAGCTGCATCCAAAGCCATGGGTAGTACAGGTGTGAGCCCCTGACCAGGGCAAGGCTGCACCTTTATACCCTACCTGCAGTTACTACTGTGGGGGAGAGGAGTCTGCAGGAAATGATGCTGCAGGTAAGGGGTGGGATGGGTATTTCTGGGTTTAGGACTAAAAGCCGTGTCATGAAACATCTTCCCTGATCTGGGTCACAGAGGACAGTTCTGACAAAGTGTAGAGGTGGGGCTTTCTGCATGGGGAAAGAAGGACATTAGAAACCAGCCTTCAATGTGTCTGGAAGTTGTGGGTGATCAAGCACCACCTCTTGTCTGAGCTCACTGTGAAAATCATCAGGCCAGAAAAAGGGGTTTAAATGTGTCCTTGACTCAGTGTGAGGGCACATGGGGAGTAATTTCCATGGCAACTTGTATTTAACAATGGTACATCCAGACAAAATAACTAGAAAGCAGTTAGAAATACAAAATAGAAGCAAAGACTTACCCCATCATTAACATCTCTGTCTTTCAGAATGGAGCTCTACCAAACCCACGAGGGAAAAAGAAAAAGGTAATTATTCCGAGATCTCCTTCCATGATGTCTGAGGCCATCATCTACAAATTGTTAGTAGTGATCTCTGTCACATTACAGTTGTTAAATACACTGATTATGGTAAAAATGGATTTTATAATATGGTATTGTTGTGATTAATATTTTAAAAATATTATACATTATAAAAGGCCAGTGCTCCATTTAACATTAAAACATTTGAGATTGAGGTGGGAACAATCCTTAGAAACAATAAAACAATGGACTGGCAATATGACCCAGGAACTATTTGCTGCCAAACCTGAAGACCTGAGTTCAATTCCCAGTAACCATATGATGGAAAGAGAAAATAGGCTCCCTAAGTATGTCCTTTGCTCTCTACCTCATTGTCACATGAGTGTCTATACACTTACATATATAAATACAATTTTTAAAGACCTAAATCCTGGAAAGATGCCTCAGTGGTTAAGAGAACTAGCTGCTCTTCCAAAAGACCCAAGTTTATTCCCAGCATTCACACGGTAGCTTATATCCATCTGTAACGCCAGTCCCAGGACTTCTTCTGACCTCTGAAGGTACTATATTTAGGCCCAACCACACTTCTTTTGTTCCTCTGCTGGAGACAAGGCATTGAGCTCTCATCTCTGGAGTCTAGATAGCTCATTGGATGACTGAGGCAGATGCTGAGGCTTCTGGTCCATGGACCACGGCTTGGAAACAGAGATCTCACCTGATGACTGTGCATTAGAACCCCTCAGAATGTTTAAGTATCCAGTGCTTGGCTCCAGGTCAGATTCAGTGAATTGAAATTCGTGTTACTTGGATCCTAGATATGTGTTTTGGGTTTTTCCCTCAGTGTTAAGGATCAAACCTGAGGCCCCTTTCATGTGAGGTTGAACATTCTACCATTGGACTATACTCTCAAGCCTGAAAATTTTTTAATTCCGTGAATGATTTTAGTCTATAACATGTTAATGATTGCTGCTAAATAAAAGAACAAATTTCTTGTTTAAAAAAAGGGAGGTTGACTGGTGTAGGAGGTCCTTCTGTTTATGTATTGCTTTCATTGGTTACAGGGAGCGGGGCCCTTTGTTCGTCCCGGCCACCTGGCTAGCTTACACCTGAAACAACCACACAGAAACTATATTGATTAAATCACTGCCTGGTCCATTATCTCTAGCCTCTTATTGACTAACTCTCACATCTTGATTTAATCCATTTCTAATAATCTGTATATCACCATGAGATCATGGCTTACCAGGAAAGATTTAGCATGTCTGACCTGGTGGCTCCATGGCAGTTCTCTGACTCTGCTTTCTTCCTCCCAGAATTCAGTTCTGTCTTCTCTGCCTACCTAAGTTTTGCCCTATCAGGCCAAGCAGTTTCTTTATTGATTAACCAATGAAAGCAATACATAAACAGAAGGACCTCCTATAGTTGGAGAAAGGCTCAGTGGTTAAGAGCACTAGCTCTTTCCAAGGACCTGATTTCAAAACCTAGCATCCACTTGGTGGCTTGCAACCACCAGTAATTCTAATTCCAGCAAATCTGACACCTTCTGTCTTCTGTGGGCTCCAAGCTCACAAGTAAGATGTAGACATATATGAATGCAAAATATCCATACACATAAAATTAAAGTAAAAACAAAAAATCAAAGGGACAAGGGCATGGCTAAGTGGTGAAGTGTTTACCTAGTGGTAGAGTGCCTGTCTATCACGCTTCAGGTCCCCTGTATTCAAACTCCAGCACCATGGAGGTAGCACCACTTAAAGAGGGCTGAATGTGTATGGGGATGTGCCTTAATAGTGCAATGATTGTCTAGGTTTTGGTTCTACACCCACATTAAAAAAGATAAACATCAGGGTCCATCCAGGCTTCTAGACGATGGAGCACTATGTAGATTTGCTTGTATACTACTCTTTCTCAGGACGCACTGCAGTGTTTTTAATAAATGACTCAGAAATCTTGACCCAGCAACGTGATAATAGTGTTCAGCAAACATAGCCTCACCTGCTATTATAAAAAGCAAAGACTATTGCAAGATTCCCTGCCCCGGGGCCCTATTGGAATAGATGCCTCCAAACATGTCCCTCAGCAGCCATTCAAGGTACCTATAAAAGAGATCCCATGGACCAGATTTGTGTTTGCAGCGTAGAATATGAACGTTGTGTGCTCTTATGTCATAGTAAATGTCTGGGTGAAGAGAGAAATCAAAAATTACAATTTTATTCACTTCAGCTCTGACTTGTTAGCTATTTTCCTTTACTGGCGATGTCATGGGTAAGGAATTCTGCACCCCAATAGCATCAGGCCCTATACAAGCATGAGGTGAGACTTAAAACTTAGGGTGAGCATGATCTGTGTAGGACTGGGTGTCTGAGACAGGGAGGGGCAGGGATGAGTCAGGGTTCACATGATGGGAGGTGAGAGGCTCGTTGTAACAGGGGAACAGGGACAGTGTTACAGACAATAAAGACCTCCCTAGAGAAGCAGAGAGTAAATGCTGGAGGCTCAAAACAAGACCAAAATGCAGACCTGAAAGATTAGAGAAAGAGTAGTCATGGGAGGAACTGTGAATATTGTGCAAATGAAATGAGTTGAGGGTACAGGACAGACCCCCCAAGGAGCCCCACATTCTAATAGTAGAACCAGCTCTACAACTCTAGGTGATTCTCCTGAATACATTCATTTAATGTTAGAAATGTCACCTTGAAAACTGATTCAATAGAATCAGAACCCAAGATAGTTCTATCTACATGAGCCCCCTCTCAAAAAAAGATAATGAAATTAATTGATTAAATAACCCATATTAAGACATTATATTTTGGAGTTAGGCTGCCCTAAATAATAAATATGTTAGGTTATCTTTAATTCAACTTTTTATTACTATTGGTTTTTTCCCTTTTTTAGTTATTTTTATTGAGCTCTACATTTTTCTCTGCTCCCCTCCTACTTCTCCCCTCCCCTTCAACCCTCCCCCAAGGTCCCCATGCTCCCAATTTACTCAAGAGATCTTGTCTTTTATTACTTCCCATGTAGATTAGATCCATGTATGTCTCTCTTTGGGTCCTCATTGTTGTCTGGGTTCTCTGGGATTGTGATTTGTGGGCTGGTTTTCTTTGCTTTATGTTTGAAAAACACCTATGAGTGAGTACATGTGATAATTATCTTTCTGTATCTAGGTTACCTCATTCAAAATGATGTTTTCTAGCTCCATCCATTTGCCTACAAAATTCAAAATGTCATTATTTTTTTCTGCTGTGTAGTACTCCACATTGTGTAAATGTACCACATTTTTCTTATCCATTCTTTGGTTGAAGGGCATTTAGGTGGTTATTGCAATAGTGTTTCTATTATTTTCATGTCAGAATTGCTGTTTTCACAATGTAAATTTTTCTAGTCTGACAAATCCCAGCAGTTCTTTGAACTTCATTTCATATCAGAATGCCATTTTCTAACAACTCTGTTCAATACTAGTCCCTAATATTTTGAGGAGAGGGCCTGGTGAGATAGAGAGTTAAGAGCACTGATTGCTCTCCCAGAGGTCTCAGGTTTGGTTCCAAGCACCCAATGGCAGCTGACAACCACCTACAAATCCAAGGCCAGGGGATAAGATTCCAACTTGTGGCCTCTGCAGTCAACTGCATATGTGTGGTACATGTATATACATTCAGGAATACATACTTAAAGCAAATATTTGAAGTCTACTTTAAAGTAAAGAAATTTCTGGGCCACCCTGGTTTAGGCAAAGGCCACATGTTCTAACATTCTGTGGTCACACTGCTCTTGATGATTTCTGCAACATTTCTTCTTGTAGCTGGAAAATTCAAGACATTGTACAAATTCAAGACATTGTACGGTGTGCGGTGGACGACGGAAATTGTGCCCTTGTGTTAGTTGTAGAAAATTCTATCATAAAAATTGCCACATCCCACCTGTGGAAGACAAGAGGTTAGTAAGACAGCCCTGCCTCTACCAACCCCACGGCCCTTCCTCCTCAGGACACACTTCCTCCCTACACACACACACACACACACACACACACACACACACACACACTGCTGGTTTGTTGTCTCTAGTTGGAGATGTCTTGATACAATGAGAACAACTCTTAGTCTCAAGATCCAAATGTATCCAGAGCTGTTTCTCAGCACTCATAGCTGAAGATTAAAGGAAATAATTAATGGAAAGTGATTACTTGAAAGAAGTGTCCCTCCATGTCACCTATATGCTCCACTGGGGTGATAGCACCGTAGAGCGGTTGTTGGCTTTAACCATGCATTCATCTCCCGCACTACAGAATTACAAAGTTGATAAAGCTGGGCTTTCAAGCCTTCAGAAATCCACCAAGCATTCCATCAGACTAGTTGATCCTGGGTTGCAGAGCACTGCATGAGAACTGGAAATTCTGTGTGTCAGCACCCCACCCCCACTAAAGCACCCCTTTGTTTTAACTGTATCTCTGGGCAGAGATAGAATGTGAGATTCCAAGAGGTTGAAAAGAGATTGGATGGGTTCTGTGAATGGTGTGGATGAAACTACTGTGACCCAGGGACTGATGTCTCCTGGAAAACCTCTAAGAGAACATTGCCGTCTGGTGGCAGGAGGAGTCATAGCACCACCCAGGGCATCATCTCAGAGGATTATTGGAGACCACTTCTTCTAGCTAGTTAGACATGATATCAAGGCACAGAAGGAATCAGTTCTTTCACTCTGCCCACATGCAGCTCCCCACCGGGAGCATTTGGTAATGGGCATCTTGAAAACACACTGAATGGACAAGGAGAGGCCAGTACTGCTAAGATTTGTCATTAAAATGAATGAAACTTGGGATGTCTCAGTCAAGGTTTTTATTGCTGTGATAAAACACCACAACCAAAAGTAACTTGGGAAGGAAAGACTTTATTTTATCTAACAATTTGTCACCCACCTTTCAAAGAAGTCAGGGCAGGAACCGGGAGGCAAGACTTGATACAGGAGCCATGGAGAAGTTCTGCTTCCTGGCTTATTTCCCATGGCTTCCTTCAGCCCGTTTTCTTATAGCACCCAGAACCACCTGCCCAGGATTCACACAACCCACAGTGTAGGCAGAGTTTATCATCATGACTGAAATCAGCTTTGTTCTACCAGCTACTTCTCAAATAACCACTCTGGGGCTTATTGTTAATTGCAAATGTTCACCAATAGCTCAGGCTTATTACTAACTCTTACAATTTAAATTAGCCTATTCATATTAATCTACATTCATGTGGTATAACCTCTCTTTCATTTTATATCTCCTGTTTCCTCTCTCTGTGTGGCCTGTGACTCCTCTCACTCTGCCCTTCTTTTTCCCAGTGTTCTTATTCTGATTCTCCTGCCTAACATTCTCCTGTCCAGCTATTGGCCAATTACCTCCTTTATAAAGCCTATCACCAAGATACATATTTACACAATATAAAGGAATATTCCTCATCACAGTGAGTTGGATCTTCCATATCAATCATCAACCCAAAAAATGCACCATAGGCTTTCCCACAGGCCAATCTAGTTAGGGCATTTTCCCCAATGAAAGTTTCCTCTTCCATGGACTCAAGTTGACATAAAATTAGCCAGCATGTAGGGTAAAATGGAAAATATTTGACACCATCAGTATATTTCCTTCCCAAGAAATTTCCATAAGACAGGTTCTAGCTGCAGACCAGGCAATGTCAGAAGAAAGGACACCTGTAGCTTTTAATGTGCTTACTCAACAAGGCTGAGAAGCAAGGGTTGTTTTCTGGTTTTCGGACTATAACTGTCATCTATTTGGCTCATCAAGATTCAAGACTCCTGTGCTTAAGGCACTAACTTCACTGCAATGACCAAACATGGCTTATTGTCAAGCTTTCAAAACTCAGAAGGAAACTCCAAGTCTTGAGGTCAATAGGAATCCATTACTTCCTTGTGTACCAACTCATTCACGACACTCACTATTGATAGCAGGGGTTATATTTGCCTATCAAACCTACATGGAGAGCCAGTCCAGTGTCCTCCAAGAGTGAAGTTGACTGCTAGGTGGAAACCACTGCCACTCTTGAACAGAGGTCTTTATCAGCCACAGGAATGGGAACTGGTCCACAGACTCTGCCCTTGCTCACTCTATCTCTGATCTCTCAGTAGCCCATGGACCTGTGTCTTCTGCAAGATAAAGGATCAGGCAAGGTGCCAAGAAAATCAAGCATTTCATAAGGAATCTGAGGTCCTGAAGAGGATGATGTTGCCTGAGGAGCAGCTGGTGAGTCAGTGTGAAGTTGAAGGTCTCTCTTTTTGGTTGGTTGGTTGGTTGGTTGGTTGGTTGGTTGGTTGGTTGGTTGGTAGACCAACACGGTCACACAGAGGGTAAGGAACAGAACCCCAAAGTAAATTGTGCTGTGCTGTAATCATGTGACCCAGTGTGAAATTCATACTCCAGGGAGTAGCTACCTTTCGTATTTGTCTCAAAGAGGTCAAAGGTCTGAGAATAATTTGTTGAATCTTGGAATTTAAGCAGGCCTTTTCTCCCTAAATTGCCTTCCACTTAGATTGCCTTTCATCTTTTGCAGAAATGTGAGCTGCTTCTCTTGACTGTCTATCGCCATTCAAAAAGTGCCTTTTTTAAACTCAAACCAAAGCAAGTAAGTAAGGACAGCAAAACTGAAATCTTGTGAATGATTTTATTCTGATACAAGTTGGCTTTCTCTTGCCTTCTTGATGAGTGTCTTTGTGCAGAAGGCCATGCATAGCAAACTACCATAGACTGGGGCAGTATGCACAATATAAATTTGTTTCTTATGGTTCTGGACACTGAAGGTCTGAGGCCAAGGTGTAGATAAAGTCTGGCTTCTGGTAAGGATCTTCTACTTCTTTGTTTGAGACAAGGTCTCACTCTATATCTCTGTCTGACCTGGAATTGACTCTGTAGACCAAGCAGGCCTTGAACTCATAGAGATTTCATTTGCCTCTGCCTCCTAAACGATAGAGTAAAATGTGTGTGCCATGACAACTGGCTAAAAGTCTTCTAGGAGGCAGGCAACTCACTTCTGACTGTTCCCTCAAAGAGTGAAAAGAGACTGAATTTCCCAAAATCTTAACAAGGGCACTAGCCCAACTCCCAGAGGCTGCTCATTCATAACCTAATTTCAAAGCCTTTACTTCTTACATCCAGTGTGCCAGGGTTAGGATTTCACCCTATGAGTTAGAGGGATGGAGATGCAAGCATTCAGAATCCACAACCATGGGAATGTGTGGTAGGCTGACTAAGGACTATGCTGACAGTAATCCCTCCCCCTCCCCTTCTGTGCTTTCCACAACAGAGGAAAAAAGAGTTTCCAGCCCTCCAGCAACACATGTGGTTAGACAAAGTCAAGAAAAGGCTGAACGATAAGGCATACCACTCGGTACAACATTTTGTTGCAGACATGCGCCTCATCTTTCAGAACCACAGCATATTTTATAAAGTAAGATCCTCTGCTTTGCTTTCTTTTTTCTCTGAGGTGAGTCACTTTTCCTCGTGTCAGGTAGATGCTACAATTCCCCTCATCATGGGGCAAGCCCGTACAAGTCAAAGTTGAGGGAGCATTCAAAAAGTCCCATGATACAGGTGGGGAAAGCAGCAGTGGCGCCTGTCCTGAAAGGCTGATATACCCAGTGACACTTTGTTGGAGAACATTGACTTTCACGGTTGCAGCAGGTATTAACTGAATAGCTTTTTGATTAGGGGTGCAACCTGGTGTTTAGTTCTTCTCAGGGCTGGGATTTTGCCTGGTTTGAACCTCTCCAGGACTTAAGCATTCCCATCCCGTCATAGTCTCTGTGAGTTCGTGTGGGTATGAGCTCTCCAGTGTCTGGAAGATGCTGTTTCTTGGACTCATCCACCACCTCGGGGTCTTACAGGCTTTGTGCCACCTCTTCCACTTAGATCCCTGAGCCTTGAGGAGAGGGGTTTGATAACGACATTGTCCAGTTGGGGACCTCTGTGTTTATTCCCGTCTACTGCAAGAAAAGCTGCTCTGAGGAGTGCCGAGGGATGCTCTGACCTTCTCTCTGATGGGCACAAATACTCATAGTACTCTAATCATCATCATCATCATCATCATTATTATTATTATTATTATTTTTATTAACAATAAATCTTTTCAAAATTGCCACAGAATTAGAAAATCCCCCGAGTCATTGAATGAGGTGACCTAAGGTTGGGGCATGTCTTTAAAAACACTTCCTCAAAGATCTGAGGGGAGACCAGAAGGAAATCTAAGCCAGCTTTAGTGAAAAGAAAGTACAGCCAGAGTCTAGAACACCAGACAGAGGTCAAGGTAGACAACTGAGAGGTGGGGAAGGAGGTACAAGGAAGTTGTCCCATTGAGTCTTTGTCCACTGAGGCATGAAGTGGGCATGAAAACTTCATCTTGTCCAGAGTGACATGAGTTTGAGGTGTAGAAACTATACTCCACTGTCTGTCATCAACCTAGAAAGAGTCATTAATGTCACTCCATTACTTTTTATTTTAACTCTATAGCCATTCAAAGACAGCTCTTTGTGCCCAAAATTTAAGATGAGTTTATGAGAAAAGATACAGGTAGTTGAATTCATTGTCATTGACTTTACCTCCTACCATTTGTTAGTGCTAGGCCCAAAATGAATAAGTAACATTCTGTCACTTTACCTTTTGTGGCTAGTTTGAGACCCTAATATTGCTTTTTAGTTTATTTTTAACTAAGCGTGACAAGTGGCTTGCTGAAAGGATACATTAAGAAGGGTCTTGCTACGTAGACCGGAACAGTCTTAAACTCACAGAGATCTACCTGCCTTCACTTCTCTAGGATGAGACGGAAGGGTGTGCCACCACTGCCCTGCTAGCATTTCAGTTTTAAGTTATTACATTAAGATTCTGCCTCTTATTCAAATTCCATAACTCCTTATCTAGCCTAATAAATTTCCAGGAAATTAAAAGCGCAGGGAAAGGAAGACTCTGCTCATTTCTGCTGTTGTAGCTCACCTAGAACAACATGGTAGAGTGGAAAATCTCATACCATGAAAACTTTGTTTCTTGTAAAATATTTGAAATATATTGCATAAAATTGCCTCAGGTTATCTGTGAAATATTTATATAAACTGGATGAATTTTTGAATTTTTTACTTTAATCCCATTCCTGTGATATATATATATATATATATATATAGAGAGAGAGAGAGAGAGAGAGAGAGAGAGAGAGAGAGAGAGAAATATCCCAGCATCTGAAACCCACATTTTAGCTGATCTCAGTCATCTAGAGCAAGGAATATTCAGCCTGCAATACTGATTTTATTTCTGTCTTTCCAAGAAAAGGCATAACCAAAGTATCGAGAAATATAACCTCTTTCTTAAAAAAAAATGGTTACACTTCTATTTATTTTACTTTGGGGGAGACAGTGCCTCAGGGTAAGCCATAGAGTGGTGCGTGTGGCGGTCAGGGAACAACTTACTTGCTGGAGTCTGTTCTCTTCCACCACATGGGTCCCAGGATTGAACTCAGATTGCTTAGCAACAGGTGCCTTTACCCACTGAGCCATCTCACAGGCCCAATAACCTCTTCTTAACTGGGTTAGACCTCCCCACTTGGAATAGTCTGAGCAAGATTCTGGGTTATCCAGAGGACTGGTTGGCCAAGCTTAGCAAGCTATGGAGATCACTGATTTCCTGCTTCCTTTTCAGAATTGCAGGATGAGCAACCTTGGAGTCAAAGTAGGAAGTCTATTTGAGGAGACTTTCAAAAGAGCTTTTTCAATCCAAGGTACAGGCAAATAACATCAAACGTGTAAGCACACCGGTGGTTTTGTTCTCATAGTCCTTTGTATTCCGTCCATCACCCATCCCTCCAGCCGTCAACTGCACAGAGCTCAGAGAGCCCACCCTCCCCTCTGCCCTTCTGTGTAAATGCCCTGCCACACTTCTGCTTCTGACTTTCTGTATTGCCCTTCCTGTTCAATTACCTTCCTAAATAAAACTTAACATTTGCAATGTACATCACAATGGTGAACGGTCAGGTGCTGAGGGAGCCCACTGAGAAGGTGACTCGGGGAGCAAGACTGTACCCCTCCCCAATTTTAAACCCAAGTATGCTGCCCCAAATGTCTCCAAAGCATCTTTTCTAAGGATGACCTGACCCTTTGAACCAGTGACTGAGTGGAGATACCAACAAAACAGACCAAATGTGAGAGCCCTGTCCTTGGGAAGAACTGGAAGGAGAGCCATGACAAACAGATATTACAGTTGTTTATCCTGTGGTGTAAAAAGGGAAGGAGAAGCCGGAGAGAAATCTCAACTGTGAACTGTGGCTGACTGCTCAACGTCCACAGACAGTTTCTGCTGACTGCCGTGAGCATCCAATTTGATGATGTTGTCTCTCTGTTGCTGTTCATTCTTCAACCTGGAACCTCACCGAATGCTAACTCTGGTCTGCCCTGGACTCCACTGGGAACTCCAGACCCCACCCCCACCACCTCTGCAGTTCCCCCCTGGATATTCCAAGTACATGATGAGCAATGTTCTGTTGTTCTCTCTACTCTTTTCCTTTGGCTTGTAACATACTTAATAAACTCATCCAAAGCTGAAAGCATGGCGATCATTGTTGTGTCTCAGGACTGAGCAGAACATGACGGGGTGGTCAACAGTCTCCACACGATGCTATTTCTATGTGAAAGTCGTGACTCTCATTAAAAGTGAAAGAGGGTAGGACCAGACAATGGATGGAGTGACGATTCCTGCCACAGGCACCTGGCCTCTGCTCGGGATGGTAGAATCAAATGTCATTTATATCTAAAACTGCGGTTCACAGGGGAGCATGTCGGGAGTGGAGCACTCCAGGTACTTTCTACTTTCTCCTCTGCTTTTTCTTTACAAAGAGCGCTCACTGCTCAGTCACTGATAGCTGGGCAGACTCGTGATGAATGTAAAACTTTCCCAAACTCCCATATCCTGTGAGACCACAGGGAAAAGAAGATAAAAATCCAAGTGGTGAGGAGCTTTGTCTGAGATTTGTAACAACAGTAAATGCTTGGTAGCTGAACAGTGTGTGTACAAACAGGAGACCTCAGTTTGGTGCATTGTACAAGGTTTGTAATTTAGATTCAATTCCTGTATTGAAGGTTCTATAGCAACATTCATAATAACTAGCTTAAAAAACAAAATTGTGTGTCTAATCGAGATGGCTGCTTGTGTTTTTTCCAACTTCATTAGGCTTTTAAATCACTTCCAAAACTGAGTCTTAGCAAAATTAGAACTTAGTTAAAAACTGCTTTGTGATGGCTACGGCTAGTTTTACGTGAACTTGGCACGAACCAGAGCTATTTGGAAAGAGAAAACAGCAGCAGAGCAAGTGCCCGCACGAGAATGGCCCGCAGGGCATATTTTTGACTGATGAACAATGTGGGAATCTTAGCTTATTACGGGCGCTATCCCTGGGTGCTATAAGAAAGCAGACTGAGCAAGTCATGGAAGCAAACCAGTAAGCAACCCTCCTCCCTGGATCTCTTATCAGTTCCAGCTTCCAAGTTCCCGCCTTGAGTTCCTGCCCTGATTTCCTTGAATGACAGAACTCTAAACTATAACCTGAAATAATCCTTTTCCTCTCCAAGTCGATTTTGCTCATGGTGTTTATCACAGCAATAGAAACCCTAACCAAGACATGTTTTCTTTTTGTGAGTTTTTCTTTGCTTGTTTGTCTAAACTTTCTTTAAATGTTATACACGATTTAGCATCATGAAACTAGTAAGACTGTCCTTCTGTGAAGATAAAGGGCTCAGAAGGAAAACCAGTTTTTAACCCTTACACTCCAAAGCCAGCCCAGTACCTCCTAGACAGGGAATCCTGCTAAGCCATCTGGCCTCTTGATCAGACAGGCTCTGGAGTCTCTAGCAATTGGATTCTGGTCCATGGACATTCCACAGGGAGGAGAATCAACGGAGACAGACATGTTCCCTGTGCTTCCAAAGGAAGACACACGGTCAGCAGGGCGCTGACCCTTCCCTGCAGACTACAGGGCGGATAGAGGAAAGCTACGGTAACCAATGGGTCACTCCTAAACCCCCGAGAGAACCACACACAGAGTCTCAACAGACTTTACAAACAGAAGGGTTTATCTTTGGCCACCTACATGGTCTTAGACACCCAAAAGGAAAGTATAATCAAAACAACTGCCAATCAGATAGTCAGATTTTAGCCAGTTTTAAAAGGAACTCGGCTAAATGTCATAAAGTTGCTAACTGGATTCACCTGATCAAAATTAAACCTTATTCTCCAGGAAGCTTCTAAAATAAAAGACAAGGGAGAGTAGAACAATAAACAGACTGGGGACATACACTTTGTCTTCAAAAGCGACCCCGAACCTCAGGTAAAATCTGTATGTGGTGGTGGCGCACACCTTTAATCCCAGTGCTCAGGAGGCAGAGGCAGACAGATCTCTCTGAGTTAAAGACCAGCCTGCTCTTCAGAGTGGGTTTCAGGGCAGCCAGGGATATTTAGAAAGACCTCGTCTCAAAACAAAACAAACCTAGGCCCATTAGGCAAATTTTTCCTTGAACATTCCTTGGCTCTATTGATGATGGCTAAGCAGGTTTGCTTCGTAATTCCTCAAATTATTCCTGAGACATCATATCCTACACTGTTGCTCTCTGTTCTTTTGCTTGGAAGCCTCACCTGAAGAAATCCTGCCTGTCCTAGACTCTGTGTGGAACTCCAAACGACTTTCTCAATGGGGCTTCTGTGGTCTACGTCTGCTGGCTATTTGAGCATTCAATAAGATGATGTTTTACTATCTATCTATTATTTTACTTTGGCTTGCTATACAGTTAATAAACTCACTCATTCAAAACTAACTTATTAAGTTCTCTTATTCAGTATATTAGTATTAGTCAAGGTTCTCTAGAGGAACAGAACTTACAGAATGGATATTTATAGTTGCAGATAAATACATATGTGTATACATGTATATATATATATGCCTTACACACACGTGTGTGTGTGTGTGTGTGTGTGTGTGTGTGTGTGTGTGTATCTGAGGCTCTGAAACAACCCAAGCAGACACAAGAAGTCACACAAAGCAAGGTTTTAATACTGGGGAGCATGGCAGAAGTGCAGTCAGGTACAACAGTAGAGACTTGGGAGCTGACTGCATCCCCAAACGTTCATGTCAGCAAGTGTTTAAGCACAAAAACCACAATCATTTCTGCCAGGTTGCCGTTATATTTTCCCACCAATCAGGCTTCAGAGGTTAGGGACTTTCCTAGGAGCCTTGTTCTTTGGTGCACTTACCTTGTTCTCATTGGCTGGTTCACTCAAGTGTGGCAGGGCAGCTTGCCCACCATTCATGCCTCAGCTTGTCAACCGGGGTGTCAGTTACCCAGGCAGGTCTTGGGAACCTAAACTTTGTTTCTGAGTAAAAACCCTTTATTCTTTACTACTTGCTATTGCTTTTTCAATTCTTTGAATGACATGCCTGGAAACACCTGATCCAGACAGAGACTCCCAGCAATATCGCTTTGAGGCCCAGGCTGTCCTTCTGCCTCATCCTCACAGTATTCACAAACACAGCCAGTTAATGAACACTCAGGACATTCCTAGAACTCTATGCAAAGAAATGGGGATAAAGGCCAAATACATATTTTATTATGCTTCAGATAGACATGGTTATGTGAAAGGGAAGAATCAAAATAAAACTTGTAAGTACCCCGTTTTCTTTTGACTATACCATCAAAATATCAACAAAGTCAGAGACTATTGTCTAACCTCTCTGCTGTGGGGTACCCACAAGAGAAGACTGCTTGGACATGTATTTAACCCAGCGAAGATCTTTATTAGCCAACCAGTGACTACACTAGGTGTTTCAGATCTCAGTGTGGCTCCAAAGTTTGTAAGTACAAAATCCATGTTATGGGTTGAGTGTTTCCGTTAACAAGAACCATTAGCCAGAAGCAGAGCTACAGAAGCCAAAAAGCAAAGTTGGACATTTAGAGACTTTCCCAGAACTATGGACTTTGAGGGATTCGTTCTTCATCTTCATTTTGGCAGGTAGTACTGTCCATATGCTGAGTTTTACAGCTGGAGTGGTACTTCCATCATGGAGTCAGTTGTGCTAAGGTCTGGGGAGGCTCACTAAGGTCTGGAACCACATCTTCACAAGGGTCATAAAAAGTTAGGTGTAGAGAATGGACGGCTGGGCTCTTCGATGTCCCCCAAGAATGGAGAGTCGGGAAACAGGAGGTGTGATCTCCTAAGGGAACCTCTGCATTCTGGATCCCAGGGTACATGGTCCTCAGCCTCCTCATCCACCTGCTGCCTGCGTCTCGGTGTCAAGGTGAAGAGTTCCAGGAGTTCATTCTCATCTTCCTCATCGCTGCTGATCACTGCACAGCAATATGAAACCCCTTAGCGCTCTCGGTGAATGACCTCAAAGCTGATTCTACTGGAACCCCAGAATGCAAACACAGGGATGACCCAGACGCTTGGGTAATATTTAGGTAGCAATGCCCCTGCCATAGTTGGTCCCTCGACTGTGTTCTACTCAATGCTGACTTTGAGGTGGCTTTGGTTATCCCAAAGCCTTACGGTCACATCTCCATCTCCTAAGGCTCTTACCCGACTTCCTGCTGTCTCTACCTATTTCTCTGTCCCTGCTGGCTCCTCCCTCTGCCTTCTCTCATTCTGTGGATCCCCAGTGCTTTCTGCCTCTGCCCAATCCCTCACCACCCACACACCCCTGGCTTCCTTGTCTAACATTTCCTTGTGACTCTTTCCTCCTAGTTAAAGGAATGCCAAAGTCAATGGCTCCCTGTATCTATCTGGGGCTCTCAGGGCCACCGAGCTGGACTCTGATTACAGCTCGGTGTGATCTTAGAAGGGTCACCCATCAGCACAGGCATCTTAAGTTATCCTTACCAATGACGTCATCCTCTTGGTTCTGCCTTGTCCCTAGCTTCTGTAAGCTTTCTTGTTTCACAAAACAAGGTTGCATCCAATTTTCACGTGTACGTAGGTTTGTCCCTGAAAAAGAAAAGAATGTTATTTGAAGAATTCTCATCCACTCCCTTGAAAAAGCTTCATGGAATCCTGTTCTCTCTCCTCTGACATTTGACTAAGGAGCACAAGGATAGCACTAAACTTTTACAGCCTTAGCTGAGAGTAGTTGACTCACACCTATTAACAGGGCACTTGGGAAGTGGAGACAGGAGGGTCAATCATGAGTTCAAGGTCAACATGACTACATATAATAAAACCTGGTCTCAAAAAGAGAGAAGGAGGGAGGGAGAGAAGAAGAAAGGAAGAAAGGAAGGAACCTTCACACTTATTTTTTCTACCTCACCCTACAACACACCTTCCTTTCTTCAGACCTCAAGTTTTTTCTCGCAGCCCTGATACCATCTTTTTGTTTTCTCTTTTCCCTCTCCCTGGTACTGTCATCTACCAACTAATAACTATTAGTTATTAGTTATTATTTATTAGTCAGCTAAAGTTTGTATTCCTCACATAATCAAGTCATTTTAACTCTATTAAGACCTGAAGTTCTCCTGCCTGGTATGGTAATACATGCCTTTTAATCCCAACACTCATGAGGCAGAA